CTTTAATGGGATTGTTATTACTTCTGGATGTAGTCCTGTGACCATAGATTATATTCAAGTAGAATGGAGCCCATGTTACCCCTAGTTTTCATTCGGGGTGACCCCAAAAATTGCAAAAAAACTTAATCACTCATTCTGGACCCTACTTTAGGCAATCATAACTTGAAATCTAAAGATGATACATTAAATCTGAGTGCAGATTCATAAAATTTGGCAAAACGTAAGTCAGAATGCCAACTTTGAGCTCTTTGTCTTGTCTGTTGACTAAAATATGGCATTCTGAAATCCGAAATTATTCAAAATGTCACTTTTCACAATTCACGAGTGCATAAAATGACTAAGTCCAGCAAATTTCAAACGGCCATATCTCAAAAACGACATGGAGTATGACTTTCAAATTTTGCATGTGTTCATATGAGCAACATATCATCATTCTGACCAAATTTCATTAAAATCTGAGGGGTCACCTGGGGATTTGTTCTGAAACTGGTTGATTTGACATGGAATCACCCTATAAGAATTGAATACTGTTTTCTGTACACTACATGTTTGTTTGGGTCAGTTAAGAATTAGCATCTAATTAGGCCTATTAATGAAATACAACGGTACACAAACATTCACTTGTATGTTTTATTTATATTTTGACATTAACATAGGCCTTTAACACTCAATATTATTTTTATTTAACATAAGCCAATAAACAGTTCCACACATAAAATAACAGTAGGCCTAACCAATAAAAATATATAAAATACAAAACAAGATTTATGCAAGATTAAAAAAACTGTACAGCAGTCTCCGCCCGGCAGGCAGACAAGGCCATACTTTAAACTGGCATCAAGGCACTCCATCGAACGTCCTATTGTTAGCATCTAAACTGACCCACTTCTGTCAGAGCGGCGCTCAAAGTGAATTTCTGTAGAGCAAGGAGGAAAGTTTTTTCCTCCATGTATAGATCAACACCGGCCACACAGTCAGTGACATTTGTCACGTGATGTTGCGTACTCTGTTGGACTGATCACATCCACACACACGAGGTACCCAATATTAATTGTACAGTAGTTGCATAGGCCTAGTTGCTGTATATAATATATATTGATGCCTACGTTTAATAATAGAGAAAATAGATGTTCTATTTTCTCTATAGTTTATTGAATAATGTTTGGCGAATACTGGCGTCCATTTGTGTTCGCATGTGATATGTGTGCAGGGAGTTGATAAATGTTTTTTCGTTCGTCGTCAGCTTCTTAGCTGGTAGGCTGCTACTTAACGAAGATAGGTCTTTCCGACAGAGCAAACGGCACTTAGGCCTACATGCATATGTGCTGCCATTATCGTCATTACCACTTAATTTAACTATTAGGACTATGCAGCCTTTAAACTTTTAAAACTTGTTCAGTATTTTAAATTGTACAAAAACGGTAGTTCAACCGGGGCCTGGTCTAACGACACAGACGCGTTTGTCGCCCAAAACAATAGAAACAATGGCAAACGCGTTCAACAGCACAAACCCGTTTAGACGCGTCTGGGACATATTCCGACTAGCTTATTAATATTCATGAGGCACGATAATTAGACGATCGCTTTCCCAGACGCGTTTGTAATACATGGTTTTCCCAGACGCGTTTCTGTCGTTGGGGATAATTTGTAGATCGCGCCTAAACCAACTTAAATAATTGGTTGAACTATTCCCATAATTATAAATGAAGGTTTCGGGTCAGAGGTCGGCAAATCAACAAAACAGGAATTTCTTGAGCTTTGACTTTGACTAACACTGTGACACATATAAAGTATGTTTATTAGGTTACATCCTCACCTGTCCTATGGCATACTGCTCAAGCGCCATCACCCTTTCTGGAAATTTCTTGTTTGATGTGCTTCCGTGTCCTAATCTTCCATAATCACCATTCCCAAATGTGAATAGCTTCCCATCAGCTGTTACAACTGTTGAGTGTTTAAACCCACAGGCCATCTGAGATAGAAACCAGTTTATATTTATACATTTTACAAGATCATATTTCAATAAAATATAGAATTATAATGATATAGACAAATAAAAAATATAACTGTCATATTAATATATAATAATGTATATAAACTTTATTTTGCAAAATACAAATATAGAATTATTTTAAAATGTTATTACAGAAAAACTAATGTAAAATATATCAAACCAGCTGACATACATTAAGTTATTTAAATTGTCCTTATTTTCTAGCTGTAATAAATACAGTCCTTAGAACAAGGATGGTTTTAAACGCCCACATGATAGGATTCAGAATGATTGTTGGCACAAAAAAGAGAGCCACCGACAACTAGCCAGACAATAAAATACTAAAACTCTGAGCGCTGAACTGAGTTCATCAGTGTCAGTGTTTGTACACACAGCTTGCTGCATCAGTCATTCTCTCCATACTGTCTCAACTTACTGCAGGTTGTACGTAGTCTTAACTGCAAAAATGTAGTCTGCACATAACTGTAACTAACAACTACTATCTTTACTGCTATTACGCCAAATAAAAAAATATACTGCGTTGGCCATGTCCGACCAAACCAAAATGTACGAAATTGAGATTTGGCATTAATTTTTTTATTTTTCACAACAAAAAATATATTTTTAATGAGCTAAAAAGGCTGGACGGTAGGCGATGTGAAAGTGTTATGCGATCGTTTTGCTCTTCAATATAGATTTGAAAATTGTCATTGTTGTATTTGTGTATTTTCTACTTTTTAGACATTATTGGTTAAAAAAAAAAAAACATTTCCTATCGACCTACCCATTTTTTGGATTGTCCCAAAACATGGCCAACACAATTTTTTTTCTTGTCTTTTTCATTTTTTTAAGTTATTTCATTTGTTATTGCCCTTTTTAATGACAGCTTTACCTGCACAACTTCTTCGCCCTGTAATGCTTCAATCTGCCTTGGTCTTCGCTGCCTGTCACTGTTACCATGACCCAGCTTACCGTAGTCACCATCACCCCAGCTGAAGACTTCTCCGCTCTCTGTCAGCGCCATGGAATGTCCATCTGAGCCACAGGACGTTACAAGTTGAGTCACAACAAACCCTGCAACATGTTTGAGAGAAAGATTAGTAAACAAACAGCAATCATTAACTTCATAGACAAATAGCCATTGACTTCTAGTCTGCAAATATACTTGTTGCCATGACAGCAATGTAATCACTTGACAATATTAACGCTGGTGAACGTAGCATGATTAATGAAATACGCTCTCACCTTGAATAGCTGAAATGACAGTGAGGGAATGCAAATCGTCTGAATTACCCTGTCCGAGACGCCCATAGCTACCCTCCCCACATGCTGAAACTGTCCCATTTGGGTGGATTACAAAAGTGCAATTCTGACCACAAGTAATCTGGGGAAAAATCAAAATGTAAAGATGAGGTTATCATGTAGAGGTAAAAAATAATAAATTGGATATTGCTTATGTGGTACTAACCTGCTGGACATTACTTAATGATGGAGTGAGTGTTGGGAGAATGGCACTACGTCCAGTTTCAGCCATCTGCCCATGACGACCACTACCCCACAGATACGTATCACATTTTCCACCAAGCTGCCAATCCTAGAAATAATTACAACATAAATATGGTACTAATATTATTATAATATAATATAATATAATTATAATATAATATAATTACGTATTACGTATGGCAGTCCGCCATGTAATGCTCAAGTTGGTGTTCCCGATTCCAATGTTATGTTCCGGATGCAAAGACTGGATCTTAACTATGTAATATTGTACTGATATTGGCGAGATGGTTTACTTTCAATAACTGAACTGACTACATCTCTTCTGGTTATAATGCAAAGCGTTTATCCATGCTACTATTCTACTGCATGATATATACAATATATACAAGTAGGGTTGTGAGACGTAGTGTTTCCTTCAAGGTATCAGAAGGAAGTCTAATACTTTACTTTTCATACAAGCTTGGGGTGTGGTGGACTTTTTCTGGTTGACAGATATCACCTTATCCTAATCATTTGACTATTACATCATTTTGGGGAGTTTCTATTGGTCAGATAATATAACAACTTTGGGGTTAGAACTTAACTTATATTTAGTAACAAGCTGTCTCTCAATTTACCAAATAGTCGATTTATAACTCTTCGGGTAGCCATTCCAAGACATAAATAGTTTGATTTGTTTGAGTTCATTTTGTAATGAATCACCGGGAGTACATATTTTGTAAGCCTGTGTGTACAAACTGCGTATCCATGATATTTTGTGGTTCCAGGGGGTAAAGCTATTGAAATGAGGAGAACCCATTAATAATCCATCACATTGTTTATTATTATAAGAAAAAATCGTTTTGGTGCATGTATCCTTAAGTAATTTACGTAGAGTGGTTTTCTTAAGATCGGTGGTTATCAGTTATTTGGTAAATTATCTTATAGGCTTGGTAATAATGTACAGAATGTTAATGATGATGACTTGGTTAAAATTTGAGTATATTTGCCATATCTTGGTAAACACGGTGAATCAATTCTACATAGGTGTCTAAAGAAAATCAAAAGAAATCTTGATAAAAATGTAAAGTTTATAACATTATGGCAGTATAAGAAAGTTAGTTATTTTATTTCAAACAAAGATCACACCCCTAAAGAATACAGAAGTTCAGTTGTATACCACTTTAAATGTCCTGGTTGCAGTAGTGAGTACATAGGCAAAAAAGACAGATGTTTAATTACTAGGCTCAAAGAACATTCATCTCGACCTAATAGCGTGATCTTTGACCATGTTAAATCTTGTGATGCATTTAATTACATACTTGACTTACACAATTTACCAGATATTGATGATGATTATAAACCATATAATTCGTTAGGGTTGATTTTTCATATCACTAGGAATATTGACAGTTCTAGTAACTGGTCAAATTTATTGTTTAAAGAGGCTTTCGCTATTAGACGTTTCAACCCATTACCTAACAATGGACTGAAAGCCTCCAAAGAACTATCATTGTTTACCTAGTTCTCACTTCCAGTTGTTTATTTCATCACATCATTAAGCTTGCTTATTGATACTTTATACTTAATCACCAACACTTAATTCTGAATCTTATTGGCTACATTACTGACTGTTTCTCATTGGTTAATTTTCTGCAACACCTCTGGAATATGTTTCTAATGTTGGAATCTTCATTCATTCCTGATGATGATCTAATAAAAGATCGAAATATTGAATCAAAATGACTAGTCTTACTTTATTTGGAGTATGTTTTATACTAAGTTGTCTTAAACTTATCAGTGGACCTACTGGTTTTTATACAAGTAGCGTTGTGAGACGTAGTGTTTCCTTCAAGGTATCAGAAGGAAGTCTTCTCTAGATAACTAATACTTTACTTTTCATACAAGCTTGGGGTGTGGTGGACTTACTCTGATTGGTTGACAGATATCACCTTATCCTAATCATTTGACTATTACATCATTTTGGGGAGTTTCTATTGGTCAGATAATATAACAACTTTGGGGGTAGAACTTAACTTATATTTAGTAACAAGCTGTCTCTCAATTGAGCTTATTTTATAAATCAAATGACCACTTGGGCTTGTCGTCACAAATTGGCCATTGTCCTGTCAAAGACTTTATATACAATAATTAAGGAGACATTCAACAGGTGTCTAATGGGTTAGTGAGGTAAAAGTTCAGTTCAGTGGTATAGTTGAATTGGCCTATATAGTGTTGGTTACCTTAACACTATATAACACTAAATAGTGAACTGTTGTTATTGTTGTTGTTTATTTGGTTACATGAAAGAGATTGAAAAATACCAGGATAACCTATGAAGCCACAGGGAATTTACAATATGATATGAAACAATTTTTTTCCCCTATAAGTAAAACAAAACCAACAAAACCAATTACAAGACATTTACCAAGATGCAACTTCACAGCTTGTTTATAACTCACTCAAATTACTTAACTGCTTAATATTAGACAAAAGTTTATACCAGTCTTTAATGGTGCTGTAGGAAAATGTATTTGAAGCTTGACATTGAACAAGTCACTTTATAAATAAATTTAAATATACAGGCAACATATATATATACCTCAGGTTGCTGTGTAGCCCATGTAATAATCTGCTCATCCATTAACAGAGTCCATGTCGTATTATCAGTTGCTGCAATACCATCCCCAACTTGTCTACTGCTCTCATCATCTGAGGGTGCTGCGAACTCTAGAGGGAACTCACTACGTTTCATCAAAGCTTCCATGGATCTAATGACTGTACAGTAGGACGCCAGCCAACTCCATTCCTGGACCGTGGTTGAGGTTGTGAGGGAGGGCTTATGGTGAGGAGGTGTCGGGATATTGTACAGAACTCGGTCAAGATTCAGAGCCACTGCTAATGTACAAAGGTACTGCAGGAAATAGCTATGAACCAACTGCTCACCACATACAACATACAACTGCAAACAAATCAATAACGATAAAAAGTACATTGGTTCATTGAATATGAAAACAAATAAGTGGAGAAATTAGATAGAAAATGAAGAATGAACCAAATAGAAATATGGACACAGGATGGAAAAGAGTATGCAATCCAAAAACAATGAGATGACAAAGGTCAACTTAAAATAAGAAGCTTGAAGTACTGAATCTTTCAAAAAACAAGTCTATAATAACTTGACTTAGCTCATAGATAGTACAGTACTTTGTTTCATTCCTATAAATTTCAAATCCCTATAGGATGTGAATACAAACAGAGGAATCTCTACACTTACCTTCTCATAATTATATTGTTCTTGTAGGATTCTGGGCAATTTCTCAATTAGAGCAGCCAGACAAGGGGCTTGATGCAATCCCACGATGCTTTGCTTTAGCAGTGCCATACACGATGCAGCATAGACACGGTGCTTCACATAAAACTCATGGTTGTAGTGGATCATGACGACATCCTTGGAACGTGCGAATGAAGCAGCAACGCCGGAGTTCCCACACCAGTTTATGCTCTGTGTTGCTCCTGGTCCACAGTAAGATTGTAACACAGCACCAGTCTATAAAAATAAAAAATAATAATGATAATAATATACATGAATTTATATAGCGCATAATGTATAGAACTTCATGCAGTTTTACAGTATTTTTATAGTTACATCCAGCTATAATATTTCTTTAATAATTGAATCTTTGGGAAGCGTATGGGGGTTATGATGCGTCACTCACGTTAATTCGTGGTCCCAGCCAGTCAATACTGGAAAAGGTGGCATTTATGTAAGTCCATCTGTGGATTTATAGCCTCTCATACCCAAGTCCTTTTCACAACCTTCACGTGGTGCTTCCTTTTTACCCTGGACTTGCGGCGAGGGGACCAATAGTGGAAGGGCGCAGGGAGGGCCAATTCCCCTGTCTCCAATATTTAGAAGGGTGCCTAGAACATATTATCTAGAAGCAGCCAGCGGCCAAAATGAGAGTCAACTCAACAAATCTGGAGTGAAGCCCAATAGGCGGTACAGCATGTCTACTCGGCAGCTGTTCCGGCAGCTTCTGCATCCTTCTTGAACCCAGCCGTCTCAATCTATTGTGCCACTGGACAACTCAAGTTCTGAAAGAGAGTGAGGTCAGATTCAGCGCAAACTCTCCTCACTTTAATCAATTTACGCGCAAGTCAAGATCACAAGCAATCATTCATGCAAGCCCTACGGCGAGGGACGAGTAGCGAAGCAGTAGGTGCAGATACACTGAGAGCTGTAGCTGCAAAACCACACGTAGGCGGTCCAGGCTATATGGTCGCTTCCTGTAGAACTGAAGTAGATATAGGACTCGGCAGCTGCCTGGGCGACTGAGCAGCCCTATTTAGGACAGCACTGCTCACCTCCATGGCTTGAGGAAGGGGCTAGAAAAGGTGCCCTAAACATTGCCTACTTCATTTTTCCCCTGGTCAGATTACCGCGCCTGACGGGGATCCCACTTTGCGGTCAAAACAAATACTGTACAGGAAAAGAAAACGGATTGAATTAACCCTTGCGACTTGGAATGTCCGAACACTACTTGACAGATATAATACTGAAAGACCAGAGAGAAGAACAGCTCTGGTTGCCAAAGAATTATCACGTTACAAGGTTGATATTGCTGCACTCAGTGAAACCAGATTCTTGGAAGAAGGGCAAATCAACGAAGTCGGAGCGGGCTATACTTTCTTCTGGAAGGGACATGAGAAAGGCCAACGAAGAGAAGCAGGTGTTGGTTTTGCAATGAAAAACGGGCTACTACAGAAGCTTCATTGTCACCCAAAAGGCTACAGTGAACGATTGATGACCATTCGGATTCCTTTAGCAAGGAAAAGATTTGCAACCATCATTAGTGCCTACGCACCAACCGTGACAAATCCAGATGAAAATAAAGACAAATTCTATGAAGATCTCAATAGTCTCATCTGCAACACACATAGCACCGACAAGCTCATCATCCTTGGCGACTTCAATGCAAGAGTTGGTTCTGACCATGATGCATGGAAACCGGCACTTGGATCACAAGGTATTGGAAAATGCAATAGTAATGGTTTGCTCCTCCTTAAAACATGCATGGAACACAGCCTATTGCTTACCAACACAGTGTTTCGTCTACCATTCAGGAACAAAACAACTTGGATGCATCCTCCTTCTAAACACTGGCACCAGCTGGATCATGTTATTGTCAGACAATCGGCCATCTACCATCAATGAAGAAGTAATTAATAATCTTCCTCAAATGGACATTAACATAAAGCTTAATGACGAACCCTCATTTGAGGAGACCAAAAAAGCAATCTCACAATTGTCAAACGGTAAAGCTCCCGGTATCGATGCAATTCCAGCAGTACCTATTGCATTGAAGTTAACAGACCTCTTCAGGGTCATGTGGAAAAAAGAAACCATTCCTCAAGACTTCAAAAATGCAATCATCATTCACATCTACAAGCGCAAAAGGGACCGTCACATATGTGACAATCACAGAGGTATCTCACTGCTTTCGATTGCCGGGAAGATATTTGCCCGACTAATCCTCAACCGTCTAGTCTTACACCTTGAGCAGTGTTGGTTTAGAAAGTTCAGAGGCACTATGGACATGATTTTTGCTGCTCGCCAAATCCAGGAGAAATGCATTGAGCAACATCAAGAACTCTGCCCAAACAAAATTATAACTATGGTACGACAGTTCCATGACGGAATGAAGGCATTCGTCTCTGACAACGGCAATCACTCCAAACCCTTTGATGTTTTTGTTTGTTTTTACAAAACAAGGAGACGTACTAGCACCAGTTCTCTTCAGTATGGTATTTTCTGCAATGCTGATTAGTGCTTATAATGCGCAAGATCCGGGAGTTGATGTTCGTTACCGCCTTGACGGTGGTCTCTTCAACATCAGACGACTCCGCGCAATTACAAAGGTAAATACCACCAAAATTCGTGATTTGTTGTTTGCTGATGATGCTGCACTACCAACTTGCTCCCACACCAATATGCAACACAACTTGGAGGCTTTCTCAAATAGCTGCACCGACTATGGCTTTGAAATCAATATAAAGAAAACAAAAGTGCTATTTCAACCCCCACCAAACCAACAACGCTCTCCTCAAGCTACTCTTGTCAACGTAGAAGAGTTTGTTGACAAATTCACATACCTTGGCAGCACACTATCTCAAAATGGAAAGATTGACGATGAAGTAAACTGTCAAATAGCGAAAGCAAGTGTTGCTTTTGGAAGACTTACCTCAAATGTATGGAAGCGCCGAGGAATAAAAATCAAAACCAAGCTTAGAGTATACCAAGCTGTAGTATTAACAGCTCTTCTCTATGCCAGCGAGACCTGGACAGTTTACCAACGTCATGCACGCAAGCTAAATCACTTCCATCTTGTAAGCTTGCGGAGGATCCTAAATATCAAATGGCATCAGAAAATTCCAGACACAGACACAGACGTTATCCTCAAGTCAGACATGTTAAGTATATTTGCAACAAACACCAGCTACGATGGGCAGGCCATTGTATTAGAATGCCTGATGAACATATCCCGAAACAACTTCTGTATGGTGAACTGAGCTCAGGCGAAAGAACTTGCGGCCGTCAACAAAAAAGATTCAAAGACACACTGAAAACATCATTGAAACAATGCAACATTGATGTGACCTTATGGGAAACACAGGCTCTTGATAGGTCTTCTTGGAGAAACACTGTGCAAGATGGAGTAAAGAGGTTTGAACAGAAACGCAAAATGAGAAGCAAGAAAAGACAGAGAAAAAACACTGTGTAATACAACTGATCACCAATGCCCAGTGTGTGGCAGACACTTTAAAGCAAACATCGGTCTCATAAGTCATAAACGCACACATATCAACATTTGAATTTCCTGTTCTGGAACTTTTTGTGTTTATTTAAACGCGGAAACTTACCTGCACCTATTGTGATCTTGGTCATCTTCGATTACGAAGGACGAACTACTACTCTTTAATAATTGAATCTTTCTATACAATACATTTGAAATAAGTCACATTATTTCTTAATTACACAATTGTCAAGTCCAGGCAATAAATAAAGATCACACACAAAATGTCCAATACCAAACCAATAGTTTAATCGCATTTAAGCTCGTCGGCTCATTACACAACAATGTCTTCATTAAAGCACAGTGTTGTTCATTCTGCCTCGCACACGAGGTCTGTTTGCTTATCTACTATATGTGACAACACTTGTATGTAAATTAACTATATGTCACAAGGTCATACACTACATCACCCCCCAAGATATATAAATGTTTAGTAAACATTATAATTTACATAATCATTTAGGTAAGGTTTCTTTACCAATCCTGATGAACATCCAAGTGGAGGAACAGATTCTCTATTAGTAATAACTGGCTGATCAACAACAGCATTAGAAACAATATTATCAACATCTATTAAAGTTTCATTTACATTATTATTTACATTATTATCAGCATTATCATTTACATCAACGTTAATAAAATCATTATTTACAACTTCACTTTGTTCATGTTCATTACTGAACATGAACATTGATCATTAAAATGAGTGTTGGCTTAAATCAATTTTTTTTACTTGAGGAAATTTCTCATTTTGGTTAAACCAAAACCTAATAATAGAAATAAGTTCACTTATTTCTTTATTGCAATAACTAGGCCTACTTTGTGTTAAATATACTTTCTGAAGCTTCGACTACATGCGCAGCATCAGTTTTACACAAAAGTATAACCTCCGGCCAACATGAGTAATAGTCTGTTATCACCATCAATTTGTCATTAGGGAAGTCTACTGCTAAATCAAACAAGGGTCCCTCTGGCAACTCTGTAGGTTTCAAAGGTTCTGGCCTAGGACGACCACATACTAACTGACATGGTTAGGATTTAAAAAAATTTTCAATTTCTTTAGTCATATGCCACCATACTTTGCTTCTTAAATTCTATTTCGCACAGACCACACCTTGGTGCCCTTAATGAAATTCAGTACATATGTAGTTAGATTTGCTGGAATTACAATTCGGTTACTAGCATGGCCGGCGGAAGCGGGGGGGCCGGCGGCCCCCCCACTTTTTGGCGAAAAATATATGTCTGGAGATTTTTGTATGATCGGAAATGCAAAAAAAGAAGAAGGGAAGAAAGAGGAGAAGGATGGGAAAGAGAATGTTTATCCAGTACCCAACCAAGTTACATTTTCTCGCAATTCACATTTGCGGATCTGGGGGAGGGGGGTCATGGGTCCTGACCCCTTCCTTGGGCAACAACAAAAGGGGAAAAAAAAGAATTCTAAAACTATCTTTTCAGGACCCGTGAGCTGATTTTTTTTTTGTTGCTATTAGAAAATTAGAATTCTGAAGAACATAAAATTATAATGATATAGTGAACAGATATCACAATACCCTGGCCTGCAACCCCTTCTCCACTTCAAAAAGTGTCCATAGCGCATTTAATCTAAGCTGCCAGATGTTCTCCGCAGTGGCGTAAGCACCGGGGGACAAGGAGAAAATATCCATCTGTGGAAAATCTTTCCCCATTGAATGCC